AGACCACCCGCACATACACGGTTTTTGGAGGGTCACGCGAGAGCCTAACCAGTGGCTCATTTTGCCCCTCCCCACGCCTTCGTTTAGTAGACGGCAAGCTCTGAAGACTCACCGCCCTGTCTCCGCACAGGTCCTTCCCTCATAGGTACTACCGCTGTTGGGTTGTCTGAAACTGGTTGCTGCAGCAACTTAGACCAAACTTGCAAGGCAATGCTGCCCTGCTCGTCGTGCCGTTGTGGCAAGGGCNCGCTGTTGGGTTGTCTGAAACTGGTTGCTGCAGCAACTTAGACCAAACTTGCAAGGCAATGCTGCCCTGCTCGTCGTGCCGTTGTGGCAAGGGCGTCGCTCTCGTTCTCCTGGCGCTCCTTGGAGTTGGCTCGGGGGCACCTCACACACCGAGCCGCACAAAGGTAAGCGCGGTCCTGCTGGATCCTGCTGCAGCTGCATCAGCCGCATCAGCCTCTTTGTGATCTGCATCCTGTCGATCTCAGGTTTGCGTGCACTCGCGACGTAGATAGCGAACCCTGTATCGACTTGAATTCAATGTTGTTTGAAAGTAAACCAACGCGCCCCTCAAATCTCTCAGATCATCTCTCCTAGTCTACCGTATACTACACCTACATAAGAAAGCACACCCCCCACAGAATACGACACCCCGGTGGTAGTTTTGGGCGCTTCTGACAAACGATCAATTATCACCGGGGTTACATGAGATAACAAACCCCGGTGACATTTTCAGTTACGCCACATGGGGTCCCGCCCCGGTGGTCCAGTTGATAATCTCGAAACCCCCTACAGGTCAGGTCAGGGGTTCGAATCCCGGCGTAAGCGAGCTTTTCTTGCAAAGTGGGCTTTCCTCGCGCTTCCGCTCCTGGCCTTTTTGTTGTTGTTATTTTTCTTCGCATTAAACTCGTGTCAGTTGCTAATCCCAAAATCTAGCAAAGACTCGGTCCGTGGTCACAAAAATGCTAGAGCCATCAGAAGATCTACAGAACACACACACTATTAGCAAGGAAAGGGTACGCAAGCCCGAGGAGGTACACCTGCAGTCCCTGCAGCACGTTTGCGTGCTCACAACTGAACTACACGCCCACACACTACAAATCGACTACATACAGCAGCAGCATCACCCCCCTTGTCTCGCATTTAACCAAAACGAATGTCGACTACAGCGTACTGCTGTCTGAAGTGCTGTCTGTACAATAATTACACCATGGTGCATGGTACACAAGCTCGGGGCATCGAGCTACTGTCTTAAGTGCTGTCAGAATGAGCCCGTGGGCATACAATGAAGAACACCCAACCAAAGCCATCATTGCAACTGACAATCACCCGAATCTATCCAGATCATCTGTGTTAGGCACAGCAGTGTAAACATCGACACTGACTAG